CTGTAGTGCATCAAAACCAAAATCACCACGGCATCTTCACAACACGAGGTTAAACACACATTTTCCAGAACTGCTTTATACCTGCTACTTAAAATACTGCTGACGTGGTGTATCATATGCGGTTGTGTGTCTTTCACTGACTTATCATAGCTTTCATCTGTTTCATGCTCACCACTGTCAGACGTTTACACGGGAGGCACTCCAGAAAGCACCGTTTGTAGTGTATATTTATATTAAGGCCTAAGGGAGGCAAAGAGTTTATGTCTATGTAAGATCAAGATGTTTTCGTCTCCATCTCAAACATCACCTTAAATAATAAGCACAAGAGTTACTTATGCGCTTGAAGCTCCAGCCTTCTCAAGCGCTTTCCTTTTTAAAAGAATGGAGTTTGTGTTATGACCTTCTTTCTTTATGGTCTTCTGGTGGGTGGGTGGGCGAAGGTAACCCAACACAGGGACCGTGGTGAACAGTCAGGGTTTGGGGTAAGGATTGGTGCCCAGTTCGCTGGCACTGGTGGGAAAGGGGCAGGAGAGCAGCACTCACAGGGAACAAGACGTGGTTTCTAATCACAGATTTGGGAGGTGGCTGTGAGTCAGTCAGCCGGTTTTACCCAACCCAGAATGGACCGCTTCCAACACAAGCGAGCTGAGATGGAAATAGAGAAGGAATATTTCCAACTGCATCCCTGCTAGAGAAAAAGACACTGCAGGAAGTTTCTTTACGCTGTTTTTGCTTTATGCTATCTTTACGCTTTCATTTTGTTATTTGAAGCTTAAATAGCTTATTCTGTATTTTATAGGGCAAGTTTTTTTCACTTTTATGTAATGTTTCCCCTTCCTATACCCCAGCTTCAGTTGTTCACCTGATATTTGGGGAGAAGAAGGGTCTCTTTGCATCAAGATGAGGTCAGGCTCTGGGGAAGGCCAAGCAGATGTAAAGAGCTGCCACTGCCTCTGTACACAGCATGGTAAGATCACTGGTGAGAAGGATTTGAAGATACTGGACAGAAAGACCACAAAAAATGACCCAGCACTGAAAAACAAACATTGCAATAGAAGCCATCATCTCAGCAAATTTATCAGGGAGAAGACTGAAGAGGTGACCTGACTGAGCCAACGCTGGGTTTTTAACTTCGCAGATAAGCTCATAACAAGTTCTCCTGGACAAGGACCACATGTGTTGCAGGTCAACATGAAAAGTCTCCCTCTAACCCAACCAACTGCTGAGTCTTCTTCTTATGCCTGGCATCACACGGATAGCCAGTCTGCGATCAGAGAGGAATCTTCACGTGGTACAGGGGAGAAGGCATTTGCAAAGTGAGTGCAAAGAGTTCATTAATACATCTGAAGCATTCAAACGAATACTGTAAGACAGAAAGCCTCATGAGAAAATGAATTATTATGTCTTCAGAGCTAGTCTCGGACGACGTTAAGTATAAAGGACCTAGGACTGAATAATGAATAATGAAGGGAACAGGACTTTAACACAGGTTCATGAAGCAAAGGGAAAAAAAAACCAATCATGCAAATGGCAACAGTGTATGTACAGTGCTGGTGAACTGATGTAAGGCACCCAGTCTTCATACTGAAATTTATTAACTTAAAATTCATTTTGAATTGTCCTTGTTTTAAAAATAGTTTTTCTATGTATAGCATTCTAAAGATATGAATACACACACAGAAATGTGCTTACGATGACCGTTAACGGTTTCATAAATAAATGTGCACAGAAACACTTCCAAGCACATCCTGCGTGGCCCAGCCTCAGGAGATGTGCCGGATGGTTCTCCAGCTGCCTGACATTTCAGCAGGCAGCACTGTGTACGAAGGAAGAACACATCTCAAAGCTAAAGCCATGGCTGATGATGCTGCCATGAAACCCGGCCAAGAAAGGAAAAGCAGGCCAACATTTGTCCTCTTTCAACAGCCCTCAACCCTAGGAGAGGGTTTTCCCCTTTTCCTCCACAGTCACCATCCACCATGGGGTTCCCCCATTTCTACACGGAAGGAAGCTTCTCTTCATTCTCACTGGAGTTGATGGGACAACCATGAAAGGATTAATTTGCACCAGGTCATTACTGCACCAGTGGTGTGCCCACCAGTCGAACTCAACGAAGGTGAGCTGGAGCTTACGGCAGCTGCACCCTGGCAGGTTCTGGAGAACGCTGATCTGCGTGAAGCTGCCCGTGCGTGGATCTCCCCCTCCTCACTGCTTCTGCAGCCTCAGCAAAATTTCTCAGTAAAATTATTTTTTCTTTATGTTGCCCTGTTGTTAAGCACTTTTAACTCTTCAGCAGCGGTAGTTTTCACTTACCCTCTGGGATTCAGGAACACCGGTGAATTGACCTTCAGGAGACAGAGAGGGATGCTGGCCATGCTCTGCCTATGCCTTGATTTTCACGCAAAGGAAAGGCGAGAACCAGGGCAGAGGCAGCTGTAGGGAGGGCATGGTGCTCTCAAAGGGGCTCCTCTGATCTCAACAAGCAGGAGCCCAGGACCACAGCCCAGGGTGCAAAGCACATCACACCATAGTCTGAAGTCAAGCCAAGAGCTTAGAGCCTCTGCATTTTCCTGGGAGGTCCACAAAACTACAGAGGAACCCAAATAACACATCACCTGCAGAGGGAAGACCATCGACAGCAGATGTCCTGCCCCAATCCACTCGCCTTCTCCCAAGAACTGGATTTCTTCCTATTCCCAATACCTTCCTCAAGTTTACCAGAAGGCTGCAGAGTCACTTTTTACCTCATGACGCACATAGTTGCTTTTAAGTATTACGGCATTAATTTCTTGATCAATTGTGTAACTGCTCAACACCTCTTGGAATCTTACAATTCACATTTCTAATAAATCTTTAAAATTATGTGGAGCATCACACACACCAATACTTACCTTTAAAAATACCTCCAGCGCAGCCAGCAATCTGATCCAGGAGAATTTTAGCAGCTGTAGGCTTGAAGAGGAAGTTAATTTAGGGCCTTACACTACTCTCAGAACACCTTCATCAGTTTTTATGATGTCTTAAAAACACTAACACAAAGGCAGGCACGTGGAACTCCAATTGGAGGGCAGCAGAGCCTCACCACCACACTCAGTAAAACCTCTCATGGGTGCAGTGTGACTGAAGTAACACACAGAGAGCCTTCCTGCAAAGTCTTCCCGGCGGATTCCTACCGCAACCAGAAAGACTAATTTAACTTTTCCCAACACACCACGAATGTGGGTTCACCAATCTGTAATTAGAATGGGTGTGTTTTGTGAATGAAGTCGTTGTTATAATTAGATCTAGTTCTAAAGACAAAATTCAGTTATAAATATGTTTACCAGTGGGGTTTTTTCCTCTCTCAAAGCCAAGCCTAGGAAAAAACAAGCCTGACCAATGTTGAGACAAATTTACTAGCCCAAATTCCTCAGTAGTAGTATTTATACGAGTAGAAGCTCACTGCACAAGGCAACGCAGGAAAGAACAGCAAACACAGGAAGGGAGCACAGGAAAGGGAAATAATGGACTTTTTGGTGGAGACATTACATCATTTGCTTTGCAATGTATCTGTATTTCACAGCCAGAATAACACCAGCCAGCTCCAAGGAACATGTTTACTCAGAGAATAGATCTAGTTCAGATTTCATCATAATGTCAATATTTGCCGTATTAATACTACAGTTCCTCTCAGTTGATACTCAGAAGTTAATAATATGTTGTGTGCCAAGGGGAAAGATCTTCCAAATGAGCTGTGCGTATCACCTGGGAACTGCCAGGGTCGGAACACGGTTCACTCCACTTTTGGGTGCTGGGTGCAAGGAGACAGGAACAGGTCTTCAACTGGCAGAAACCAGTTGACTTCCACCTTGCAGGGCTTTGGTTTGGTTTGGTTTGTGGGGCTTTTTTCAAGGTTTTAGTACCAAACTTGACAACTTGACAACTAGGACAAATTATCAGGCTCCTGTCAAAAACAGATGACTCCACAGTGGGCTGCCTGCTGTACATTTTCTACGCATTTACTGCGATGCATGCGGTCAAGGGCAGCTGTGTGTCCCTCCAAAGGAAGCACGTCTTTCTGCAGTAGAGATTAACACAGAGTTACAGACACATGAAGCAGTCAGCAGCATCCACTCCCCGTCACCCAGCTCACGTGTGGTCTGTGGGTTTGTCCTATCGTTTCTGCTGTCCCTAACACACACATAAATGACTCGGAGAATTCGTAACTCCTTATTGAGCAGCAGCTCTCCCCGTAACCCTTGATGTGGGGATTAAGCCTGCCTTCTGACACCACATTTACCATTGCCTGGTGATGACTCTGTGACTGATGCCTCCTCGATCTGCTCCAAGGGAGTATCCTGCCCTTCGTGAACCCTCGGTTGGCATCTCCATTGTGCCCCGATCTGGAGCTTCCCATCTGTGCCTCTGGCATCCTTCTGCTCACAGAGGTCTCTGCGTAAACCTGCCCTTCTCACGCTAGTAAAGTGGACCTCGCTGATAGCTATGGTGACCAAAGCTATGGTCCACCACGTTATTGACTCTCTCCTTCAGATCTTGGTGTTTTGCAGGAATAGGAAGCTATGAGCTTGACAAGGTGGCTTACACTACCGCTCCCTCATCTGTTCCGTCAGATGTGCCATGTGTGGCCCAGCGTGGCAATCCCCACGCTGTGCAGGGAGCTGAGGACACGCGGAACAGGTCCCCAGACCACCATCCTCAGCACTGTGCGTAACAAACAGAACTGTCGTAATTCACAGAACAACGGCTGATCATTTTCTGCCTGAACTGAACGTTTCTTTGCAAAGTTCCGTGACTCACCAAGTAAAAATAATCCAGATGATTCTGTTTATTGTTATACCGGTTAATTTGCCTTTTTTCAAAACTGTCCTTTATTTCAGGAAGGTCCTAGTAATGCAAATGTCATTCAGCTTTATTCAGATTAACCATGTTAAGCGCATAGGTTTGGCAGAGAAGCGTTCCTTTCTGCCCAAAAAATAATTCTGAATTTGTATAATATTCTCTGTGAACAAACAATGTTTTTATTATCTTTATAGAATGCACCTCCCCTCTACAGGAAAGATGGGTACTGACAGCACAAGAGATGATACAGAACAAAATTAAATCTAACATTCAAAACAATAATGAGTATTTCTACATATTAACATTCATACCAAGCTTAAAATTAGTACTATTTGGATCTATTGAATGCTATGGCAAAGAAACTATATAAGCAATGATAATTACCATTTAAAAATAGTTAACGGTATGAAATGGAAGATTTAGTGTGTTTTCTTCTTTTAATGTACAGCCCCATTCCCAGAATTTCACTGGTCCGTGTGGACAGACCAACTGCCACAGCTGTCTATCAAGGCTGAATTAGATGAAGACAAACAATACAGGCTTTGTGGTTTCAACTGAAGCAGCAGCCTCAAAAGTTTCCACTTCTCATCTGAGGGCACTGTGGGAGCATTGTCTTCCCCCTCTCTGAAAAGAGAATGGAACAATTATGTTACTGAAATTCCTCCACAGTGGGTCTGAAAGACTGTTTATGTCCAGCCCGGGAGACAGGGAAAACTAAAAGCTGGGATTGCATGACAGCAGGTGGGGGCAGTTTCAGGGTATATATTTCAGTGACATAATGGTCCTGATTCTTCTCCTTTAGGGTAAAGCCAGTGCTGGAAGATTTACTAGCAATGGAGGAAATGGCAATAAAAATGCAAAGTTAAATGCAGTGGTAAAATTATTAACTTGAAACAAAGTTTTGCAATTGGCTTTCTGAATCAATCAGGTAATTGATTCTAATGTGGAGAGCACAGCAGTAAACTAGAATGTAAAATATACTAGTTGCAGAGAATTTTTTAGCATTTAATATTTCAGGGGCCCTACCAAGTGAAGAGCCGAGTACACAGCTCTCATGGGAGTCAGGTGGGCTCAGGAGAAAGAAAGTAATCACCCAATTTGTCCCTCCTAATAGCAGTAATATTCTTATTCATTAGCAGCAGAGATAAATCAATACTCGGTTTCATGCAAACACATATTCATGTGCTTCGGCATAACCTTAGGAAATCAGCTGCTCACGTTGCCCCAGTGCTCTCAGTTCAGAAGCAGTAGGTACGACAGCGCCAAACCACTGCATTCTGTTGTACTAATAATCTCTTTTTTTTTTCCTGAGGTTATTTTAGTGCTAACTATAGGTCAGTAGGTACACACAAAAAATCCCTAAGTGCTTGGGTGCAAATGGTCACCTGGGGCTATGATTGCTCGCAGGAAGAGTCAACGCATCTCTAGAGAGTTCCCACTCCTTTTCTTGAAGGGAGTGGGGAGGCTGTCAGTCACCAGCAGTGTTGTTAAGAAGTCAATGTCTACTCAGGAGACAACCTGTGACTTCCATGTGCTCCCTGGTTATCACCCAATACCCCCAAAAGTCACGGTGTCTGGCAGCAGGACCATTTGATGGTCAACTTGAAGAACTTTCTACCAGCTGCCTTCTCAGGGAGGCTGTAAACCCTTCACAGAGCAGCTGGTTTTAGCCACAGTTACACTCTGTGTAAGAGCACAGAGGATTCCCAGTTCTTCCTGAGGTTTGGTATAAACATGTAACATTAAAAAAAAAAATATGTAACAATAACAAGTTATTCTCCATCTGTGGGAAAACTCTTGGCATGTTTTTCAGCGGGCTACTGATACGAGGGTGCAGGGATCAACCACCTCCCTGAAGTGAACAGAAAGGTTCCCCTTGCGTGAACAGAAGATACCGGATCAGGGAATTAGACTGAGAAATCTGAGCGAGGAAGCTCAAAAGAAGCCAAAAACTTTGTGTCCTTAAGGTTCCGTGCAGGCAAACTAATACTGTGCCACAGTGACACTTTCTCAATCTCAATTAGTGCTAAACTAATTAAGAAAACTGTTTTATATACTGTGGTGAGTAGTATCTCTCTTCTTTCTTGGATAATCCCTAGTGTGATGTAAGGGTGATTGAGTATCTAATTACTCCTTAATTGAATGCACATTTTGTACATTTTTCACTAGTTCAAGCTTAATGCTTTTAGTCCAAAATCAGAGTCAGTGAAATTAAGTTGAACTGGGATTTGGGTAGCTATTGTATTAATGGATTACTTTTGGAAAGGAACCCAATTACAAGCCAGTCTGAAGACTTCAGTTGTGTTTGTTATAGAAATACTTAATGGATTGTCTGACAAAAGGTTGATTGTATCTATTGGTAGTGTTGCTATTCATGTTTACCCTTTATTCTTGTTTAAGAGTCATTTTTCTACCATGCTAAATTAATAGCACTGTTCCACAATACATTTGGGCAAGTAACACACTATTCAGGCTAAAGGTTTACGTAGCTAGGAAGATACCTGCTTTTCTTACTCTTCTGAAAAGTTTTGGGAAAAGTAATATTTGAGCTACAATTATTCAAATAGGCATATGCGTTATAATCAGACAATTGCCTAGATGCCTTGCTAGTTTACAGATTATATTTCTGCCTCTGAAATTTCCTTTGCTTGAGTTGAGTCCCACATATACTAAACAGAGTCCCACTGCTTCCAGTGGAGTCCTCTACAGATCAGACAACCATCCCCAAAGAAAAGCTTTGGGGATCAGTGCCATAAAGTGTATATACTTGGGAAATCTGAGCGCTATTATCACAATACCCATGGTTTTTAAAAAAAGAAATATTAAGGTCAATCAAAATTCAGAAATCATGCTCAGAATGTAAAAAAATCCTTAAGTTTCCAAGAATATTTATTTCTAATTCTTTCATGTAATAATTTTACATACTTAGATTCCTCACAGAGGATAAACTTCCTTGTACAAAACTGGGATAAATGCAAGACTAACTTTATCTCAGAAACAAGGAGCAGTGGCAGGAGCAAAGACAGGGACAAACTGGGATATTTCTAAGAACCAAAGGTCCCAATGTTCCTACAGTAACAGACAGAACACATTTAAAAGAGAAGATATAAGAAAACTTCAGTGAAAAGGATTATTTTTCAAAGTCTTCCAAAAGCATTGAGAAAGCGCAACTAAACGGACTATGGAACAATGAAATAGGATGGCCACGATAATACGCCTTTCCATCTGATAGGGAGGAAATAAGATGCCCCACTGCAGCAGTCTTAGGTCAAGATCACGACACAAGATCAAAAACTTTCTTCTGCTACTTCAAAGTAGCCAATCTGCTTTCTGGAGAGCTTTCCCACCTCTTCTGTCTTACCATATTCCTTACCACTATTGTCTCACACAATGTCTCTGCTTTTTTTCTTACAAAAGCATCTTGCCTCTTCTTCCTTAACATGAGGTTAAATCGAAAAGTTTAAGAGTTTAAAAAAAATCAAAGGACGTGGGTGGTAAAACCAGCTGAACACTGACTACACCTTACCATTATCTTACACCTTCCTAAAAACAGCACCTGAAAGTATGGTCAGGCATGGATTCAGAGTGTCTCAGAAAAGAGAAGTGACTACCTTATGAATCCTTATCTTCCCTGAAACACTTTGCATTTCTTCCACAAAAAGGCCACAATTTATAGAGTCTACATCTAGTTCCGTGGGCATTTAACAACATCTAGCTAATTAAAGTGTACCTTTGTTTCTCTTGAGCTCTGGGGATGCACAAAAATCTTTTTTAAATTACAGTAAGTTTTGCTTTGTAGCACTACTCTGTCATAAACTGTGGTGTTAGTCATAACACGTTGCTAACAACAGTCACTGCCGGTATTCTGTTCCTTGAGTGACAATTATCAGTTGCAAAACCATTTTCAGTAACGCAAATAACTTGGTCGTTTTGTTTGCTATTTCCTTTTCAAAACATTGCTGTCTGCTTAGCAAGTTTGTTTGCATACTTTCATTGCATTGTTTTCATCTGCATGAAATAATTAGAATTATAAATTCCAGTAAGAGTAAGGACCTGTGACTACCTGGATCTTCAGTTTCAGAGGAGTAATAATATTCTGCTTAAAACTCCCTGTGTGATTTCACCTAGGTAAACCAGAGTGCGTTCCCACTGCGTAACACGTATAGCATTGCTGGAGGAGGAATGCATATTGCAGGCTGTCTTCTCTGTCTGTGGTCAGACACATGTACCTATATGGCCCTCTCATATCCTTGATATCTGAGAGTTGTTACATTACTATATTTGAAGTGTACTAATCTGGACTATTTAAAAAACAGGTGTAGTTTTATCAAAGGTGATCTAAGCTACTTATCATTTTGCCTCACCACTAACTTGCAGCATTTTCCCCATAAATTTCAGTTTGTGTTCAGACTCTCACCTTCATGTTGAAATCGCCAAGACACATGCTGTGAGGGTGTTTTCTATGACTAGCCCTCCCGGCTACATTATCACTTCCCAAGTAGCAGCATACAAACCATACATGGTTTATGGTAAGCAGCTGGAAATCACACTCTCAAAACGCTTTACATAAAAAAGCTGATGATAACAGTGCATTGTGGATAGAAAAGAACATGTGATGCTGATAGCCACAGGCCATGAAATTCGGGAGCCTTGATTTGAACCGTAAGCAGGGGTCTGATTCCTAGGCTACCTTACCATTTTGATTAGCTTTGAAAAGGAAGCACAGTATTTTGTTTCTTCTTTGCTGCTTCTGTACGTACTAAGGGACTTCAGCTGTTTTCCAGTTCTCCACCAGTATTTGTCTACTTCTAAGAGCTCAGTAAAGGACTGAACAAGGACAATTCCAATATGGTACTAATTCTGGAAACAGCTACAACTCAAAATGCTCTTCTTCCTCATTTAGGGCTTGATCACTCCCTAGAGTGATGCTCTGGCCTGGACATAGCATAAATTCCTACTACAGCAGTGACCAATCTATGACTCTTGGGCTGCCTGTGGTTATCAAATCCCTAAATTGCGGCTCCTATGTCAGAGGTATGTCACACATGCAACAGAAGTGTTTTGCTACTCACTAATTTGAATCCTCAGCAGCAGGAAAATAAGTTAGGCTGACATTACTGGGTTTGCTTACAATCTCAGCGCACACGCTATTCCCTGCTATTACAAGAAAGTAGTGGGAAGCAACCTGAAAAGGCACCATCTTTCAGCCATTCCTGAAGCTCTTGATTCCCTGAACATTCCAAAAGTTTTGATATGTTTCCAGGAGGTTTCCGATTATGGTGTGTGGCTCTTATGCCAAACGTGTTTGGCCCTCCGTCCTATACTCACACACTCAAGTGTAAGCACATTCTCAAGCACTCTGAAGTGGCAGCAGAGTGTTGGGCACTCTGTGCACACAGTTATGTATAGTGTTGGGCACTATACATAAGCTCTTAAAACCAGGAGAACAATAGTCAGTTTTGTTGATAACATGAACCTGAGTTCCCTTCAAAGACTGAAACTTAACAATTAAACCAGCCACCTTTTAAGCACTAACCCTACACTCATGGAGACAATGACTGATGAAAGATCACTTGCTGAGAAGCAGCATAAATACTAGTTTTTCATCAAATCTAGGAAATTGG